GTGTGACCCCCCTTTGGCTTTCCAAGGGCGCACAGCACCTCCCTCACCTGCCCCGCAGGTTCGGTTCTTTTGGAATGGGAGGTCACCCAGGCACACAGATGACGTGGGCACTGATCTCTGTTGTGACCTAGGTGGTGATGGCGTTGCTATTTGTCACCCCAACACGAATGCAGGGGGCATGGGATGGGGGCAGGGGTCAGAGCCTTGGCCAGGAGAGCATGGAGGCAGAAGCTGGGCAGCCAGGGTCTGAACAGAGGTGAGGGTCAGTGGCGATTAGAAGAGGCCGTTTCCATCCGGCTCCTTGTGGGTGATGGGCAGGAAAGTACTTTGATCCTTCAAAGCCCCAAAAGTGGCATTAGCAGCTTGATGGTTTGGAGAACCATGTGAAAATGGAACAAAGGAAAGAGCCGTCCTAAAGGTCAGAGCCCGAGAACGTACTGGAAAACACCCAGCTCCCAGAAAGGTTCTGACAGGCCTGGCTGAGAAGCACTGTTTGTCCTGGACGGCTCTGCCAGGGTTGCATGAACACCCCTCTCCAGCCGCTGTACCGGCCTCCCTCCCGTCTTGCTCCGAGTATTCTGTGGCTCCTGGCTGGGGCCTCAAAACTCCGGGGGCCTCACACTTGCCTCCTCCACCATCTCCCCTGCAGACTTCTTCCAGGGCAAACACTTCTTCCTGTATGGAGAGTTCCCTGGGGACGAGCGGCGGAAGCTCAGCCGATATGTCACAGCCTTCAATGGGTCAGTGTGCAGGGGTGGGGGCGCGGGTACGGAGGGATGGTGTTAGCTTGTGGGAAGGAAAGTGATGGGGAAGACGGAGAAGGGGCACGCCCTGCAGGATGGGCACAGGCCCTGCTCGCTCTGCTCGGCCGCCCTGGACTTGTAGTGTTCCCTCTCTTCCTCTTCTCTAAGATGAGGCTCCCCCCGGCCTGGCCTCTGAAAGGCGTAGCAGCAGTGGGAGCCCTCGGTATTGTGGCTGTGGCAAGGTTGGCACAGGGGAGAATGACGGGGGCCCGCAGGTAGCCTTGGAGAATGGTTGGGGACCAGGATGTCAAGAGAGGGGACACTCATTCTCTGCTTCTCTCCTTTTCCTGCCAGGGAGCTTGAGGACTACATGAGCGACAGGGTCCAGTTTGTGATCACAGCACAGGAGTGGGACCCCAGTTTTGAGGAGGTGAGTTCCGGAGGGGCAGGGAAAGGGACACCCAACCCGTCCTTGAGTCACCTCCATCCCCTCCTCACTCACATGTTCCCATATGCACCCCGCTCCACCTTGCAGGCCCTGATGGACAACCCCTCCTTGGTGTTTGTCCGCCCCCGATGGATCTACAGTTGCAACGAGAAGCAGAAGTTACTTCCCCACCAGCTTTATGGGGTGGTGCCCCAGGCCTAAAGTATGTGCTTTCATGCGTATGCATGCGTGTGTGTACACACACACACACACACACACACACACACACACACGATGAGCTTAATAAAGGTGACCTGGTTTGGAGCAGCTGCCCCTCTTACTCAGAAGTCTCCTGAACCTCCTAGAGGCTCCCAGCTTTCTGTCATGTGTTTGGTTTTTGCTTCCCTTCTGAGGGTCAGGTGGTGTCTTGGCTCTCCTGGGGTCCTGGGAAGAATTGAGGGGCTCCCTATCAGGGGTTTGGTAGGGAAGGAGCTCTTTGTTACTTCTCCCTGGCCACTTTTCCCTGTGGTGGCAGGGAATTGGGGTTCCAGCCCTCTGAGCCCATTCCTGGGTTTTTGTCCCTCTGTTGGTCCTGGGCTGGAGGTCTGGATGCTCGTGAGATGTGCTTCTCTCTTGAGGTCCGTCTCAGCTCCCCTGGGCCAGGGATAGCTCCCTTTCTCCAGGGCTTTCAGAAGTGGCTGTAGAACTGTCAGGGCAATGGTAGAACAGGGGGAGGGGTATTTTAATCACCCCCTGTGAGCCTCCACCACATTTAAGTTGGGAACTGAGCAGGGTGTTAGGGAATCGGGCGGAAGCTAGGATGGAGTTCTAGGCAGGGGCCATGGCGCAGGCAGAGGCCAGGACGTGGGAACCAGCCTGGCTCCCCGGGGTCAGTTGCTTAAGAGGCTTTAGGGGCGGATCTGTCTGGAAGGAGGGACATAGTCCTTGCAGCTATGCTAACACAGTAGCCCCTGGACCCGGGTAGCTATTTAAATGAACTATAGTGAAGGGAAGAGTTTACTTTGTCAGTCACACTGGCCACATTTCGGGTGCCCACTGGCGGCTGTAATAGAGCACACAGATGGAGAACATTCACGTCACTGTCGAAGCAAAAGGACAAGGCTATCCCGAAGGGCTGCGAGCGCCAGGTTGAGAAGCTTGGACATTGTCCTGGAGCTGGGGAGGTCAAGAGGGGGTTGGAGCAGAGCAAAGGGCAGTCAGAGCTCAGTAACAAATTACCACAAACTTTATGTCTTAAACCTACAGAAATTTATAACCTTCCAGGTCTGGAGGTCTGAAGTCCAAAATGGACTGAAACTCAGTGTAGGCCAGGCAGTGCTCCTTCTGGAGGCTCTGGGGGAAATCTGTGTTCTTGTCTTTTCCCCAATTCCCCTTCCGTATTCAAAGCCAGCAGTGGCCAGTGGTCTTCCTCACACCACATCACTCTTGAGACGGCCTCTTCTGTCTCCTCCTTCCACCTTCAGGGATCCTTGTGTTTACACCAAGCCCGCCTGGATAATCTGGGATAATCTCCCTGTTTTAAAGTCTGCTGATTAGCAACTTTGATTCCTTCCACCCTAATTCTCCTTTGCCACATAGCAGATTCATGGGTTCCAGGGATCAGCATGTGGACATCTTTAGGAGGCCGTTTCTCTGCCTACCGAGCCCGCCGTGTGTGAAGATGGTGGGACTACAGTGTGAAAAAGAGACACGAGGCCCTGTTCTCAGGGGTGACATTCCGCTGGGGAAGAGACCGTGAGTGTGTTGTGCAGCGTTGAGCACGAACACAGGGCAGTGTTACAGAGCCATGGGACAGGGTGGCGTGGTTCAGAGAGGGTCAGCAGGGAAGGTGTGTCAGAGGACTGACCCCTCTGCAGGGACTTGGGAGAAGTAAGGGAGAGTCTGGGGGAACCATTCCAGGCAGAGGAAGAGCAGGTGCAAAGGCCCCCAGGCAGGAACCGGCTTGACCTATACAAGGAGCAGCAGGAGGTCAGCGTGTCACAGACTCAGGATCCGCCCTGGTTCAGCACTGGCCCGCTGTGTGGACGCAGGCAAATCCCATCTTTCCTGGCCTGTTTCCCTCTCTCTACATCAATGGTTGGACCAGATCGACACCTCTCAAATGCATTTGTGTCCCTGAAACTTTGATGGTGGCGTGTTGCTGTGGAGGCAATCTTCCGCTCAGCTCTGTATGTAAACCTTGATGGCAGCCGCATTTCTGGCATGGAGGGACTTAATCCCCCTCCTCGCCCACTCCTTCCCCAAGGCCTTGCCCAGTGGACTGGGTCTAGCTAGCGGCTGGTCTAACGGCCTGCTAATTTGCATTTGCCTGCCCAGTGCCACCCCTGATGCTGGATACTTCCACAAACCATCTCTCATTCCATCTGCACATTTCAGATCACAAGTAAAACTCTACCTCCTCAAAAAGGTCTTTGCTAACCCTCTACATAATAGTATGTGCCCGGTATACACTCATAATACTGTATCTCTCATCATAGTTGTAACTTGATTTGTTTATGCTCAAATCTACCAGTCTCTTCCTCTATGAGGTACATTTTTTGTATCTTAAGGATTCTTCCTGTACCTCTGAAGTTACAAAGATATTCTCCTTTATTATTTCCATCTATTTTGTTTTTCAAATTTAGAGCTTAAATCACCAGAAACTTATTTTTGTGTATGGTATGAGATCAGGATCTGTATGTTTCCTATTGCTGCTGTAACAAACTATCGCAAGCTTAGTAGCTTTAAACAACACAAATGTATTTGCTTATAGTTCTGTAGGTCAGTAGTCCAACTTCTGTCTCAATGGGCTAAAATCATGGTGTCTGCAAGGCTGTGTCCCTTCCGGGGAGGATCCATTTCCTTACTTACTCCAGTCTCTAGAGGCTGCCTGAGTCCCTTGACTCATGGCCCTGCATCCCTCTGGTGTCCGTTTCCATTGTCACATCCCCTCTGACTCTTCTGCTTCCCTCTTTCCCATATAAGGACCCTTGTGATTACATTGGGCCCCTTGGAATAATCAGGATAATCTCCCCATCTCAAGATAAGATCCTTAATCACAAATCTGCCAAGCCCCTTCTTAATACGTAAACTAACATACTCAGGTTCTGGGGATTAGGACATGGATCTCTTTGGGGGACCATTATTCTGCCTCTGCAGGATCCCACTTAATTTTTTTCCAGATCTCTCAGCTTATTCACAGATGAGCCTGTCCTTGCCCCATTCACCTACAGCAGAGATCTGCAAACTACATCCCATAGGCAAAATCCAGCTCACCTACCATTTTGTAAAGTTTTACTGGGCCAGAGCCACATTCCTTCATTTGTGTATCATAATGTGTGTGGCTGCTTTTGTACTCCAGGGGCAGAGCTGGGTAGTTGTGGCAGACACCGTGGCCTGCAAAACCTGAAAATACATACCATCGGGCCCCTTCCAGAGAAAGTGTGCCAATCCCTAGTCTAGTCATGGGGATTGTCATTTGTCAGGACCTCCTGTGAGCACAGGGCCGTTTCTGAGCCCTCGGTTCTCTTCCACTTGCCTGTTCCCATGCCAACACCACAGATGTCATTCCTACGACTTGGAAATCATTCTTGGTACCTGGGCTGGGGGTGGGGCTGGTGGGGGGCAAGGCTCCCTCCCCTACTTTGTTCTTTAGGATGGACTTGGCTCCTTTACTTTTTTCTTTTCTTTTCTTTTTTTGGCCACTACCTGATTAGCACCCACTCCCTCGCTAGACCAGGCCTGTCTTGTTCACTGCTGTGTGCCTACCACCCTGGGGAGGGTCCAGCACCCTATAGGTGCTTAATACACATCTGAAGAACAAAGCGCAGTCCAGTGTTAGCTCATTCTTATTTTATAGCAGAAGAAACAGGCTCCGAGAAGGGAAGTGATGCCAGAGATGATGCTTGTGCCCTTACAAAGGCCTCCTAGCACTCCCATGTTATAGATAAGGCATCTGAGTCCAGAGAAGTGACAAAGCTTGTCCAGGGCCCCCCGGCTTATAAGTAGTGGGTCAGGGCTAGCTCCAAAGCTTGAGCTTTAAAAAATGTTTATACTATTGACAGTATGCCCTTTGTTCTTGCTTTTATCATTTCGTATATTTAGGGACTCATTCCACATCTGTACAAATGGAGGTTTTTTCCCTATAGCAACATAGTCCACTCTATGGCTGTATTGTATTTCATTAGCTGGTCCCCTCTTGATGGGCACTTGGGTGGTTTCCCAACATCCTTATGCCTTTTTGAACAGATGAACAATCCTTATGCCTTTTTCAGTGCTTGAGTTTATCTATAGAGTAAGTTCCTAGAAGTGGAATAGTTGACACGGGCATGTGAGCATTTTAAATTTTTTACAGACCGTCAAATGGCCAAGATGGAGGCACCAATTTAACTTACAATAAGGAGAGACCCTGTTTCCCCACATTCGTCAGCAACCAACGCTGCTAGCAGACTTTGTACTTTTGCCTTATAAATAGGGAAAAACCAGAGCCAGGGCTTGCTTTCAAACCCCAGCTCCAAGCCCGTGGTTTGGGGCCCAGCGCTAACTTTCTGTGGGTTACAACCTTCCCCTCCCCCAAAACAGGTGAGCAAAGAGTTCCTCAGCCTTATAAGTTGGAGCCCAGTGTGGAGTCAGTCTCCCTGCCAGCTATCTGGTCAAGGCAAGTCCATACAGCCCAGCTTAAAAATGCTGCCCCTTTATTGACCCGGGCTGGTGGCAGAGGGGGCCGTGAGCCAAGGGGAGGACTCACTCACGCTCCCCCTGGCTCTCAGCCTGGTGGTGGCTGCGCTGGTGAAGGAGCAGGAGGCGTCTTTGGCCAAAGGCCTGGTCGCAGCTGGAGCAGCGATGCCGGGCTGTGGCCTGGCTGCCTGGCGCCGTCGGGGGGTCGTGACAGAGGCGATGGGCAGCCAGTTTGGAGGGGAATGAAAAAGCCTTGGGGCAGTGCGGGCAAGGATAGGGGCGGGCATCGGTGGCATGGTGCGTGTGGCGGTGGGCTGCCAGCTTGGAGGGGTAGCAGAAGGACTTGGGGCAGTCGGGGCATGGGTAGGGGCGGGCGGGCGCGTGGGTCCAGAGGTGGGCTGCCAGCTTGGAGCGGTGACCAAAGGCCTTTGGGCAGTGTGGGCATGGGTGTGGGCGGGCACCACTGTGCGTGAGGCGGTGGGCTGCCAGCTTGGAGGGGTAGGAGAAGGCCTTGGGGCAATCGGGGCACGGATGGGGGCGGGCGCCGCCGTGCGCCAGCCGGTGCGTGGCCAGCTTGGACGGGTACGAGAAGGCCTTGTCACAGTCAGGGCAGCGGTGCGGGCGCTGGGGCGGGGGCCGCCGGCGGGGTTGAGAAGGCGCCCCCGCGGACGTGGCAGGCCCTGGCACCGGCTCGCTGGGCTCCTGCGGCGAGCCCTGGTGGGGGGCTACAGGACAGGAGGGCCGGTGGGCTCCAGGCATCAACCCACACCCCGAACCTAGGCCAGGCTTCCCCTCCCCCACCCCAGCCTTGACACCTCAGGGGTCATCCGGGAGCCCTCAGATGACATGTCCCTGTTCCCCACCTTATGCCATGCACCATCCAAAGGGGCTCCAAAGGGTTACCTGGCTGGAACCCCAAAGCTACTAAGGTGTCCGCTTCTAGTATATTCCCAAGGGATCACCCTGAAATTCTGCATATCAAACCCCCTGACAATTTTCTGAGTCTTAAAAAATCACTGAAGTTCCCCAAAACCAATAGTAGGATTCCCCAGAATATATTTGTGGAGTACCCCAAATGGTCATCACCCTAGGCCTTCAAACTTTCACCCTGAGATTCCCTCAAAATATGATTTTCTTAGCCCCAATCCCGGTGCCCCCCACCCACGGGCGGGACCGCTCTCACCTCCTCCCTTGGTTACCGGTTCCTTGCCAGTGGGACTAGGATCGGTGTCCCCGGCCGCGGACTCTGCATCTCGCTCCAGCATCTTGCTGGCCCAGGAACCCAGAGGGAGGTAGGCGATGCTGGTGGTTACCAGGCTGATGGGGATAGGGCTGTAGGGCCTAAAATCAGGGACCAGCCTGTTCAGGAGCAAGGTCTTCTTAAGCCTGGGCTCCAAAGGCTAGGGCGGGCCTTACGCGAAGGCGGAGCCTAAGAGCACAACGGGCGGGGTTTATGCAAACATGACCCTTTGCGACTTAGACCCAGGGTTGGAGCCCTAGAGCCGAGTGGGAGGGGCCTCTACTACTTAAACTCGGGCGGCCCTGAGCGCGGAGCCGGCTAGGCCTCTACATCGAGGGGGCGGGACCTCCCCCCACCAGAACCTCCCAGCAGCGGAAGCAAAGACGGGGGTGGGCGGAGCTGTATAGACAGGACCCAAAGCAACTCAGGCCCAGGGGCGGGGCCTTCGAGCGGAGAGGGCGGGTCTTTTACAACTCTCTCTCAGGGGAGGAGCCTGAGCTCAGTGGGCGGGATTTCACCTCCAATAGGTAGCTTTACCCGGGTCTTGGTTTAGTCTCAGTCCATTAACGCCGCGTGAACTGCCTCCTTCTTGTTGCTAAATTTCATCCCCAGCGTGGAGGGTAGAGGGGAGACCTAGAGGGAGATGCAGAAAGAACGTGGCGTGTCTTGCGCTCCAGAGATCCCTACTGGATTTTTCCCTCGGGGTCCCAAGCGTCCGGGCCTCAACGCACGCCTCGGAATCATGGCATTCGGGACCAATGCACCCTATCAAGGCGCAGGCACTAATGCAGCCCCTCCGGAACCTATGCATCGGGACGCCAATCGATTCCTTTTCGGGAGATCCTGGCGTCCAGCCCCCAATCCACTTCCCGAAGACCCAGGCGTCCAGGCCCGGACCCGTGCCCGCCTCACCTGCGGAAGGCCCCTCCCCGGGGGCGGGGCTCCGGGCCCCTCCCGCGGCGGCCGCTGCAGCTGCTGCGCTGCCCTCGGACGCTGCAAAGCTGCACCGCCTGGCGCGTGCCCAGCGACGGGAGGGGAGGGAGCGCGCGTGAGGGGCTCGGCCCAGCCTCATTTCTATCCCCTGCTTCCACGCGGGGCCGGAGGGGGCGTCAGTACGCATGCGCAGTCGCGGCCAGCGGAGGCTGCTGCCCAGAAGAAATGGAAGGAGGGGTGAGTGCGCAAGGCAGGCAAGTTGGTGAGCAAGCGCCGAGCTACGGGTAGAAGGGCCGTAAGAAAGTATACTGCGGGTTGCGGGGCCTACGGTGGCTGACTGGAGTCAAGCACGTGCAGGACCTAACTCGGGGAAACTGCGCTTAGAGATCACTGAGACAGTTCCCAACATATGCGCCTTCCTTTTCTCTGTCCTCCTCCCTTTCGAGAATTCCGTTGGGAGCTTGAGTTCCCTCTCCGAAGGGAGTTTCAAGAGCCGGCTGCCCATTTCACCCCTCAAAGCGTTTGCAAAGAAGCCAGGCCAATTAGTGAGAGGGCGGGGCGGAACGCGAGGCTTCGAGCAAGCTGACGCCCAATAAAAACATGTTATTTGCCTAGCGCCCCGGCACCCTTCGCCACTGGGTGATTCAAGAATCTCAGCCCCTCCCACCCCGATGCCGCGGTTCAGGTGTTGGCGTGGGAATGGGGGCCGCGGTTCCCGAAGCATCCCTGCCGGAGTTCTTCGGAGGGCTGGAGCTCCTGGTGCCAGGCCCAGGGTGGCACGCTTGGCACCTTTCCCCGGGCCGTGATGGTGCACTTTTCCGCCCAACACGGGAGTGACCGCGAAGTGCCCATAAAAATGCCCTGCATGGGTGGGTCTTCAGTCTGATAAAACCCACAAGGTCTGCTGAGTCCTGGGAGCCGTGGGAGTTAGACGGTGGGGTTATTCGAGCTCTGGAGCCAGATTGCCTGGGTAACTGGTTGGCTCGGCCACTTTCTAGCTGTGTAAGCTTGGCCAAGTCTCTCCACCTTTCTGGGTTGTTAGGATGAAATTCAGTAATCAATGGAAAGTTTAGAACAGTGCCTACAGTGGTCAGTACACGTTACCATACTACTTCTTGTTTTTATTGTGCATTGAACTAGGCCATGATGGGATCAAGGTCGTCCCAGAACACCAAGTGCAGAGAGCTCAAGATGGGAAGGAGCATGCTGTGTTCTGGGAGTCTTTCCTACCTCGATGCTCCAAACTCACCTTCCTTTCCAGTGCTGGTCTATGCCATGGTCCAACCTACTCCAGGGCCTTTGCACTAGCGGTTCCCTCTGTCCCCCCAAGGTCATTCCTCCATCAAATTGCTTGTCTGACGCCCCCGTCTGATCTCCTTTCAAATATTACCACAGCAGAAGGCCTCCCCTGTCCACCCTAGCTCGTGGAGCCCCCTTCCCTCCATTACTCTGTTGTCGCATCTCCCTTGCATATGCACATAACACAGCATACCCGTCCTCTAGACTGTATGCTCTGTTAAGATGAACGACCTGTCTGTCTTGTTGATCACTCTGTCCAGAACAGAGCTTAGCACATAGTCGGTGTCCAGTAACTCTGTATCAAATAAATGCTGAAAAGAATTAACAGCCAGAAACTCTCTGTGATGGGAAGATATCTTGATGGGGACAATGGAGAACTTGAGGTCAAGGAGTGAGAAAGAGGCCTAGCTGAGTGGGAAACCAAGGGGGAGGGTTTTATTTTTTTTTTATTTATTTTTTATTTTTTTATTGTTATGTTAATCACCATATATTACATCATTAGTTTTTGATGCAGTGTTCCATGATTCATTGTTTGTTCATAACACCCAGTGCACCATGCAAAACGTGCCCTCCTCAATACCCATCACCAGGCTAACCCATCCCCCCACCCCCCTACCCTCTAGAACCCTCAGTTTTTCAGAGTCCATCATCTCTCATGGTTCGTCTCCCCCTCTGACATACTCCCCTTTTCTTCCTCTCCTGTTATCTTCTTCTTTTCCTTTTTTCTTAAAATATGTTGCGTTATTTGTTTCAGAAGTACAGATCTGTGATTCAACAGTCTTGCACAATTCACAGCGCTCACCGTAGCACATACCCTCCCCAATGTCTATCACCCAGCCATCCCATCCCTCCCACCCCCAACCACTCCAGTAACACTCAGTTTGTTTCCTGAGATTAAGAATTCCTCATATCAGTGAGGTCATGTGATACATGTCTTTCTCTGATTGACTTATTTCACTCAGCATAACACCCTCCAGTTCCATCCACGTCGTTGCAAATGGCAAGATCTCATTCCTTTGGATGGCTGCATAATATTCCATTGTGTATATATACCACAACTTCTTTATCCATTCATCTGTCGATGGGCATCTTGGCTCTTTCCACAGTTTGGCTATTGTGGACATTGCTGCTATAAACATTGGGGTACATGTACCCCTTCGGGTCCCTACATTTGTATCTTTGGGGTAAATACCCAGTAGTGCAATTGCTGGATCGAACGGTAGCTCTAATTTCAACTGTTTGAGAAACCTCCATACTGTTTTCCAGAGGGGTTGCACCAGCTTGCATTCCCACCAACAGTGTAGGAGGGTTCAAGGGGGAGGGTTTTAAATATGGGAAGTGACATGAATGAGTTTGGGTTTTCATATACTCTTTTTTTTTTTTAGGTTATGGAAAATTTCAAACATAACCAAAAGGAGAGAAAGAGTATAATCAGCCCCTCACCAGCCCATCACCCAGGTTCATCATGACCAATCTTATTCCATCATCCCCTTGCCCCTAAGGTCCTTGAAGCAACTTCCACACATTTCATCCAGAAACACTTCAGTGTGTGTCTCTAAAAAATAAGGACTTTCTTTCTATCTTTTAAACACAACCCAAAGGATCATTACCAAACTTTCAGACTTTCGGGTCGTTTCTTTACATTATCACATTTCTCCCATGGTCCCATGTATATCTTGTTTTTCCTTTCCAGAACAGTGTTTTCCTTCGAACATACAGAAAGTGTGAGAGAACAGAATTGTTCTCTGCATTAATAACACCAGCGGCACCAGCATCAACAATTTCCTCCTCATGGCCAATGTTGTTTCATTTCTCCCACCCACTCCTCCCAGATGATTTTGAAGCTATATGCCAGACATCTTATCCCATAAATATCTTTTTCTTATTACACTTGGTGTATCTCCATCGAGACCTAAACAAGATCCACACGCTGTGTTTGTTTTCTGTGATTCTTCAGTCTCTTTGTCATTGACATTTTAAAAGGCTTGCTCTGGTTACCGCATAAAATAGATTGTAGGGTGGCAGAGCAGAAGCCAGAAGCCCAGTGAGGTGGCTGCTATATATTAATGACACGATTCGTTCCCAGCATTTATTTAGCACTTTTTATATACTTGAAACTGTCTTGGGCGCTTTGTATACATTCGTTCATTTCATCCTGGCAGCAACTTTTTAAGAGGAGGCGCTACCATTATTCCCACTGTTCAGAAGAAGAAAATGAGGCACAAGGGGGGAGTCACACAGCCTGGAGGGAGCAGGGTCAGGATTTGAACTCCTGCAGCCAGGCCCTGGCATCCATGCAATTTGCATGTATGCTTTGCTGCTTCTTGACAGAGGCTGAGGGAGTGATGGCGGAGAAGTGGCCTGATTGGAGAGGTTAACTTAACGGGGCCCTAGTGATGAAGGGGGAGGAGGTGACAGAGGAGGAAAGAGTCAAGGACGGTGAGGACAGAATGATAGCCAGCTCCTGTCAAGGGCTTGTTCTGTGCCACCTGCTCTCCCGGACTCTTTACATGTCTGAACTTATTAGATCTTCCCAATGAGGGAAGGAGCTTTTTTCAACCTCATCTTGCAGAGGAGTAAACTGAAGCCCAGAAGAAGATAAGTTTTGAGCCCAAGGTCACACAGCTGGGAAGGGTGATGCTCAGGTTTCTACCTCTTAGGAGATCTCACAGCTGACCCAGAGGTGTGCATGCCTTCAAGGGTCTAACAATCCTGCCAAAACCATAGGAATCGGCCCCAGGGGTGAGGAGGTCTTATTTGGGGGACCCTGACAGTAAAGAGGGCCTGAGGATCCCTGTTTTCCTGTTTCCTCCTTCCCCTGAGCTCCGAGCAATCCCTGAGCCTATTTCAGCCCCAGTGTCTGCACCATTCTCCCCACCAAACTGGACAGGACTCACCTCTGGGTCCCCAGCTTCGCCCAGCTTGGACCAGGTACACAGGAGCCCTCAAGTGAGGAATAAATGAGCAATATTCTCGGGGCGGCTGGGTGGCTCAGTTGTTAAGCATCTGCCTTCGGCTCAGGTCATGGTCTTAGGATCCTGGGATAGAGCCCCGCATCGGGCTCCCTGCTCTGCCGGAAGCCTGCTTCTCCCTCTGCCACTCCCCTTGCTTGTGTTCCCTCTCTCGCTGTGTCTCTCTCTGTCAAATAAATACATAAAATCTTAAAAAGAATAAAATTTAAAAAATAAATGAGCAATATTATCCCCTTGACTTTGAACTTTCCTTTCGGCCAGTTTCTCTCCTCTCTGAAAGATTCTCTCCCTCTTTCTGCTCATTTCTCCTTCCTCTAATGTCCCAACATCTCCTATCTTTCGAAATGTCTAGAATTTCCAAGTGTATCCTTCTGACCGTATTTCTTTGACGGACATCCCATTTCAACCCCAGATCTCTCCATGAATCTCTGAAAGTCTTTCCAGGTCTCTCTTCTTGGTATCTCGGAGTCCAAGTCTCTCTCAAGTCTCTAAGCATCTCCCTTGTCTCTGAGTGGCTCTCTGGGTCTCTCTCCTGATAAAAACCACTAGGAATACATTAGGAGTCCCGCTATCAGTGTATTGGGGCCTCTTGTTGGGTTTTTAGTTCTCTCTCTGTCTGTGCTTGTCCCAGTGTCTCTCCCTCGCCTTTTGAGCCTTTTGAGCCTTTTGAGCCTTTTGAGTGTCTCCCTGTTCGCCGTTTCTCCGGGTCTCAATGCCTTCTCGGTCTTTCTGTGTTCTCTCCGCCTGACCGCCGTGAGCCCCAGCGCCCGCGGCCCCTTTAAGGCGGGCCCCTCCCCC